TGCCAGGGTACCCTTGGGAAGCCCATCCTTGCTCTGTGGGTTGACTGTAAGACGCGTTCGGGACTCACGCCTCGAGCCTTCAGCCCCTCGTGGCCGCACCACTGGGCCACTGGCGGGCGGCAGCGCGGAAGACGGGGTGGATGACGTCCAGCGCGCGATGGCGCGTCGCGCGCGGTGGCGCCTCGCAGCGCCTCCCCCGCCTCGTCCACGCCGACGGCAAGCGCCCACCTGGAGGTCTCGCAGGCGTCGCGGCTCCCCCCCCCCGGGTGCGCGGAGAGCCTGCCCGGAGCCCTGCTCGAGGAGACCTGCCTGAGTCCTGCAGGAGTCCTGCCCGATCTCTGGCCCCAGCTGAAGACAAGAGGGGGCCAGAGAAGCCGACGCCTGCTTCCTCTTCCTCCTCCTTCTCCTCCTCCTCCTCCTCCTCCTCACCATCCCCCTCCTCCTCTTCCTCCTCCTCCTCCTCTCGTTTTGCTCCAAGCGATGGTCTTACCCTTGTGCTCAAGTGACGGTCACCGTGCTGCCATCAGGCACGCCCGACACGGGACGAAGGCGCTAACTCTTGGCCACGCCGAGCATCGGCCAAGCAGAGGCTCTCCGACTTAGCTGAGAAGCGGCCGAAACCCAGGGCCCCCTTCTCCCAAAGTGGCACCCATCGGTCGGAAGAAGTAGGTAGAAACAAGTAGGAAAGCGTTGAAAGTAGATTAGATTCCGTCCTCACCCTTGGGCGGACGGATAAGGTGAAGCCACTCGATCAGTGAAGTAGGAAGGCGCTCAAAGTAGATTGGAATATGGGAATCCAACACAATACCTACTTTCAACGACCGATGAGTACTCCTTTCAGTGTCTTGACTGTCTCATGTTCTCACTCGGTCTGGTGTCCGTTTTCTTCTTTAGCGTTTCGGCATGGGGCGGAAAAGGGGGAAGGGGGGGTCTGGCTCCGGACCTCTGCTTAACGCGACTGTTTGCAACAGTGCGTCCTATGGGGGAGACTCCACCTCCTTGAAACATGCGCCAAAAACAGCCGAGATCTACTTCATGGGGGAGGCGGAGGGGGGTGCTGGGGCCTGCGCCGATCGGCAAGACAATGAACAAGAAAACGATCACCTGCCCAGGGCGCTGTTTCGAGCGCTGTGCAAGGGCTCGGCCCGACGCTGGGCCGGTCAGGCGATCGCCTGGACCATCCGTCCACCCCGTACGCCGTGGAAGCACGCTCGAGGGCTTCTGGCAGCATTTTCCACCTCTGGGGGCCCTTGGCCCTTGCCAGGCCCCAAGACTGTCAAGAAACGATGCCGCATTAACAGCCGGTCCCGGGGAAGGTTGCGAGGCCTCAGGGGTCAACGACTTGGACAAAAATGCGACGTCGCAAATGGATCGGAGGATCGCACCACATCGCCGGTGCATCGGCGACGTTGGGGCGAAGAAGTCGGGCTCTGGGGTCACACCACATGAGAACTGCCTGCTTTGGCGATGCGGCGAAACCTGTGACCCTTTCCAGTTCCTCCCGTCTGGATGTTTCTGGGGTCTCTGCACAGGCCTTCGAGCTCCATGAGGCCCCTGAAAGCCAGAAGTGGGCCGGTTGTACTAACAACCTCCATCCGTCCTCCTCCTCCTCCTCCTCCTCCTCCTCCTCCTCCTCCTCCTCCTCCCCCTGCTCCTCCTGCTCCAGCTCCTGCTCCCGCTTCTTCTCCTCCTCCTCCTCCTCCTCCGCCTCCTTCTCCTCCTTCTTCTCCTCCTCATCATCCTACCCCCCCGCCTCAAAACCAAACCCCGAAACTGCCATGGAGCGAATTTGGATCAAGATGTCGAAGCAAATCCGGCCGTGGCAAATAAGGTCACCGAGGGGCCCCCTAAACAACTCATCCTCCTCATCCTCTCCCTATTCCCAACTCTTCCTCCTCCTCCTACTCCTCCTCCAACTCCCATTTCGCCTCCTCATCCTCCTCATCATCCTCCAACTCGAACTCCAGCTTCTCAATACCATCGACTTGGCGGCGCGAAAGGGGGGGGGGGGGGCAGAGGGGGAGAAGGCAGCGTGCTCCTTGGAGCCCTTCTGGGCAGCCGCCCGCCTTAGAAGGCTGTCCAACCAAGCGACATCGAAACCGTCCCACCAAGCGACATCCGCTCAGAACGGGTGCCCAGACACCTCCCGGGGTTTACGCTGGCGAAATTTGCGAGCCGTGCCCAGCCGTGGCGACCAAAACCTGAGTCCCATACCTCTCGACCACTTCCCCGCGGCTGGTGTTTCTCTCCGAGCCATTCGTGTCACTCACTGCCCCTGGGCCTGGATCCGGCATCCGGGGGGGCCAAGACTTCTGACAAAAGCCGACCGCCTATGTATTTCCGAGGCGTCGGATGTCTGCGGGAGGACCCCGCGCGGGACCACCTCGCAAGCAGGGGCAGCAGATGCGTCGCCCTCTGCGTCGCACCGTCGCGTCGCTGTCGACGTCGGCACCACCCCTTCGTCGTGGACGTCGTGGACGTCGTCGCCGTCGTCACCGTCGTAGCCGTCATCGTGGTCGTCATCGTCGTCGTCACCGTCGACGCCGTCGTCGTCGTCGTCGTCGTCGTCGTCGTCGTCGTCGTCGACGTCGTCGCCGCCGCCGCCGCCGCCGCCGCCCCCGCCACCGCATTCGTCGTCGTCATCGTCGTCGTCATCGTCGTCGTCACTGTCGTCGCGTCGCCCCGTCCTCACTGCCGTCGCGTCGCCCCGTCGTCGTCGTCATCGTCGTCGCCGCCGTCGTCGTCGTCATCGTCGTCGTGGCCGTCGTCGTCGTGGTCGTCGTCGTCGTCGTCGCCGCCGCCGCCGTGCATTCGTCGTCGTCGTCATGGTCGGCGTCGTCGTAACCGTCGTCGCCGTCGTCGTCGTGGTCGTCGTCGTCGTCGCCGCCGCCACCACCGCCCCCGCCACCGCATTCGTCGTCGTCATCGTCGTCATCGTCGTCGTCACTGTCGTCGCGTCGCCCCGTCGTCGTCGTCGTCATCGTGGTCACCGCCGTCGTCGTCGTCATCGTCGTCGTGGCCGTCGTCGTCGTGGTCGTCGTCGTCGTCGCCGCCGCCGCCGCCGCGCATTCGTCGTCGTCGTCATGGTCGGCGTCGTCGTAACCGTCGTCGTCGTCGTGGCCGTCGTCGTCGTGGTCGTCGTCGTCGTCGTCGCCGCCGCCGCCGTGCATTCGTCGTCGTCATCGTCGTCGTCATCGTCGTCACTGTCGTCGCGTCGCCCCGTCCTCACTGCCGTCGCGTCGCCCCGTCCTCGTCGTCATCGTCGTCGCCGCCGTCGTCGTCGTCGTCGTCGAAGTCGTCGTCGTCATCATCGTCGTCGTGGTCGCCGCCGTCGTCGTCGCCGCCGCCCCCGCGCATTCGTCGTCGTCGTCATGGTCAGTGTCGTCGTCACCGTCGTCGCCGTCGTCGTCGTCGTCGTCGTCGTCGTCGTCGTCGTCGTCGTCGTCGACGTCGTCGTCGCCGCCGCAGCCGCCGCCGCCACCGCATTCGTCGTCGTCATCGTCGTCATCGTCGTCGTCAGTGTCTACGAGTTGCCCCGTCCTTACTGCCGTCGCGTCGCCCCGTCGTCGTCGTCATCGTCGTCGCCGCCGTGGTCGTCGTCGTCGTCGTCGTGGCCGTCGTCGTCGTGGTCGTCATCGTCGCCGCCGCCGCCGCGCATTCGTCGTCGCCGTCATGGTCGGCGTCGTCGTCGTCGTCGGCGTCGTCGTCGTCGTTGTCGTCGCCGCCGTCCCTGCCGCCGTCGCCGGGCCGCGCGAGCCCACCACGAGAACGCGCCCGCCGGGCGCGCGGCGTCGGCGGGCGCCGCAGTGGCACTGGCGGGATCAGCCCGCGGGCGCGCCGGCGGGTGCGGGGGCGGGGCGCCGCCTCCGCCGGCCGTCCGTCGCCGCTGCTAGCCGCTGGCCGCCGTGCGCCGATCGTCGCCGCCACATGTTGCCGCCGCTCATCGCCGCCGCTCGTCGCCGCCGCTCGTCGCTCGCTGCTCGTCGCTCGCCGTCGGTCGCCGCTGCTCGTCGCTCGCCGCCGCTCGGCGCTCGTCGCCGCTCGTCGTCGCTCGCTGCTCGTCGCCGTGCGCCGCTCGCATTTGCTCATCGCCCCGCACGCGGCGCCGCGGCCGCGGCGGGGTGCGCCGCGGCGGGGCGACGTCAGGGAGGGGGCGCTGACGGGTCGTGGGGGAGAGGGGCCGGCGCAGTGGCACCTGTCGAAGAATGGAAGGCATGTCCAGACAGACGTGATCGATGCCCCACGTGCTGCGTCGCTGTCTTAGGAGCGAAAGATGGAGTAAGATACAGGAGCTCGACCAAAAGAAGCCTCCCACAAGAAACCCAACCCTGAGACCCAAAGGCATCAATTGACTGTTGGTGTGGAACGTCACGCTTTCCATTGCAAAACCATCGAAACCCAAGAAGCCCAGGGCACCCTGGAGGCAAGCAGGGCGTTTCTTGGCATGGGTCTCCACTGTAGGTTGCTCCGCCACCGTGGGCGTCTGACCCAGGGCGGCTCGGACGCTTATACCTCAACGGTGGCATGTGAGGGCGTCGAGTTCCCAGGTGTTATATACTCACGGTGTGCATACGGTTTATTATACCGTATTGGCACTGATATCAACAGTACTGTTCCAGTTCTGTTGGATCTTACGAGGATCAAATACCGTATTGAGCACTGGCCAATACTGTTGAGTGTATCAGTTCCCCAGTATATATCCATCAGTGCTTATACCTCACGGTGGACAGGCGCCCCCGACGGCGGACAAACTTATGTTATGCCGTTCTTCGCCCGCTGACTGTCGACCGTCCTGTGCGAGGCACTGGCCTGCGTCGAGGGGCCCGCTCACCCTCCCTGCCCCATGATGTCCCAGGGGGGTCACGAGGCAGGAGGAGCGGGGGGAGAAGGAGGGCGCGAGGAGGGGGGAGAAAGGAACGAGCAGCGAGGACATGCAATGAAGAGGAGGGGCAGGAGGGAGTGCGCAGGAGGGATGACTGGCAGACAAAGAGGAAGTCAAGGGGGGGAAATGGGATTCGGGCAAGCCGATCGCGGTGTCAATGATTCAGCCGCGAGTTTGGGAGACCTGAGTCTCCATCGAGAGAAATGCACGACGCAGCGCCAACAAATTAAGAAAATGCGCTCTCCAAACCCAAGCGGGATGAGCCAAATGACGGGATATCCACATGAGAGTCTCCAGAGCGCACTCGCACCTGCCCTCGCGCCACGTTCCCAGACAGCCCGCCTCTCGACTTGTGCCGGCTTTTAATCCGAGGTCGTTTTCCGACGGCCTTGTGGCACGAGACTGGCCTCGATCGGCGCGCCCGAAGTGATGGGTATGGAAAGTATGCACAATGTCCAACAGCAGAAGTTGTCCCACACCGACAGCGACTTCTTGTTTCAAATGGGCAGTGGCGACGCCGACAGCGATTCCTGCTCGACATGGACGGAAGGAACTGTTGTCGGTCTTCGTCCCCCATGTCGATCGCACCGATCCGATTGCCTGCAATGGAGGGAAAGCCGACCATCTCGAGCCGGGCTAGGCCCCCGCTCGGCTGCACGCAAGAGTGACCCTAGGCAAGAGTGCCCTTCGGTGCGTGCCGTTGAAGGGCTGCGGGGGGGGAGCAACTCCGCGCAGTCCAACCTCGCTTACCAATACTGGCGGGACCCCTGTGGGCCCGCGCCAGAGATCACTCCGGCGAAAAGCCACCCTTACTGCAGGCCTCCCAGATGAGGTCGCGACTAGATGGGGTCGCAGGCTCGCATCGCGTCACCGATGCGTCGGCGATGCGGTTTGATGTGGAGCCCGATCTTTTGCACGCGGACGTCGCCGCTGCATCGGCGATGCGGCGCGATCCTCCGGCCCCATCTACTCCGACCCCATCTGGAGGCCTCTACTCACAGTCGGACCTGGGCCAAAAGAACATCCCTCACGAACACGAGACCCTCCGCCGGCCCAAGCTGGAGAACATTCGAGGGTGCCCTCCCACAGGATGAACAATAAAGTGCGACTAAGACGAAGAACATGAGGGTCAGAGGCCTCCTGAATGGGGTTCGAATAGGTGGGGTCGGAGGACTGCACCGCATCGCCGATGTATCGCCGATGCATCGGCGATGCATCTGCGACGTCGGCGAGGCATCGGCGACACCGCCGTGGAGGAAATCGCTTTCCACATCGAGACGTATCGTCGATGCATCGACGATGCGGCGCGATCCACCGACCCCGTCTACTCGAACCCCATCTGAGAGGCCTAGGAGGGTACCCTACCCGAACCGACCTCGATCTTGTACCTCGGTCCGACTGGTCGCGTCGTAGCCGATCCGAGCGCTCTCGGTGATCTACGGACCCGGTTCAATCCAGACCAAGGTGAGTCAGGCTTTGCAAGATCCCGCAAGATCCTCCAGATCCGAGCCCGGGTCAATGCGACCTTGGCCCTGCAGGATCCTGCAAGATGCGCTCTGACTGAATCCCGTTAGTATGGACCCCCGTCTCTTGAGCCCCGAGCGCTCGCTGTGGCCGCCCACCGCCGGCGGGGCGGGGCGAGGAGGAGGAGAAGGAGGAGGAGAAGGAGGAGGAGGAACAGGAGGAGGAAGGGGAGGATGAGGGGGGGGAGGAGGAGGAGGAGGAGGAGGAGGAGGAGGAGGAGGAGGAGGAGGAGGGGAGGAGGAGGAGGAGAGGAGGAGGAGGAGGAGGAGGAGGAGGGGAGGAGGAGGAGGATTACGCTGTAAGGATTACGCAGTGTGGCCGTCCACGCGGCACAGCTCGCAGCTCGGCATCGCAGCACCAAGGGGAAAGTCGAAACCAACACCAAGACCCTGGTGCCGAGAGAGCCGTCTTCAGATTCATCCAGCGTGCTCCGGAAACGCTCTGCCGGAGCACGCTGGCACGCAAGGAATTCTCAGGCGCATCTCACGCCAAATCTGGCGGGCACGGATCGTCCTCGTCCGCGCCGCCGAAAAGCCACTCTGCTGCCTCGTCCTCTGGGTCGAGGGGCCTTGCCACAGGCTGGGAGGAGTCGCCAGGAATCACCGTGGGAGCACCGTCCTGAGCTCTCGACGAAGCCACAGCCGATGGGGCAGGTCCTCGGGCCCCAGGGTCCCCCGCCACAGTCGCTTTGGCTACCTCTTCAGCACAAACGCGCGCATGCAACGCCTCGAGGACCGATTTAGGAGGGCCCTCGCGGCGTGGGTACTGGTCTCGCCTGATGCGAGCTAAATTCTCGGCTCCTTTCCGTGATCTCCCAAGGCATCTGGCCTCGAGATGTCTGAAATCTTCCGTCGCATACCTACCGCATTCGTGGCAGAACACCATGCAATACTTGGGCCACTCTCCAAGTCTGTGAGTGCTGTGCAGCTCCCTCCCGCCCAGGCCCCTTAAAACACCCTCGCCCACAGCCCTGGGGGCCCTGTTCAGGACGGGGGGGGGTGGGACAGGCGGGGCTGGCGGAGGTACGCACGCAGTGCTGCAGAACTCCAGCAGGCTCGAGGCATGCACTCGCTGGTTGCACACCTCGCATCTCCATTTAGCGCCGTCCTGGGCCATCTGGTGGCCCGTTTCGCGGAGAGCTATCTTCACGCCGCCCCCGCGGGCCCTACGAGGCGCGATATCTTCGCGCTCGGCCCGGGTCGTGTCGCAGTCCTGGGCAAGTTGTAAGGCCTTGGGCGCTCGACGTCTGACAAGAGCGGCAACAGCATCCCAACTGTCAGCGTGGGGAGCAGCATGCATGACGAATCCCTCCCAAGCCCGCTCCGCCGCCTCCCCCGCCCCATGGTCGGCCGTGGCATTGCCCACAGCAAGGAAGAGGTCCCTGTCTGTGACCAGACGGCCCGCGTCCTCCTCTTCAGCGTGAGAGGGGACCCATTCCAGAGAGACCTCGCGGCCTTCGGCCGCCGCGCGAATTCTCGCCCAGAGATCCTCGTTGGGCCCCCTGGTGGCCTTGCGCCTTCTCCGGGGCCAGCCTTTTAAAATACCCAGATGGTCCGTCACGAAGTGCACCGATCCCGTAGTCTGCTCAAGGGCCATCGCCAGGGCCAGCGTCTCCGATCGGGGCACAGACTGTCGGCAGCCAGGGGGCGGCGCGGCTATCATCGCCCCCAGGCACCAGCTATCTTCACGCCAGGCCAGGGCAGCGACAGCAGCTCCACACCTACGGCGACGCTGATCGTCCGAGTGCTTCCCTCCCGACCCGTCCCCAAACAGCGTCAAAACCCCGTCCCTCCGATAGTCACCCAGCTCACCTACCCCAAAAAACAAAGTTTCCTGAGCCAATCGCTCTTCATCGAACCTGGGGGTGGCGAGGTGGTTCGGCACTAGGCCTCGCAGCCAGACCGAGGGCTCACTCTCTACACTGGCCAGCATCCTCGCCACCAGGTGCTCCGCCTTGGCGAACTCACTGCCCTCGCTGATTGTCTCCGTGCACTTCCAGATCCTGTGGGTCAGCGTCTCTGGCTCCAGCCCGCATCTCGGGCAGGTGGCGCTGACGGCATAGCCGCGCTCTCGCTTCCTGGCGCGGCTCCACTGCCCGCCGCTTATCACTGCCATCGTGCGACTCCACTCCGCCCACATGCCTCTTCGAGCATATCGGTCGAGCTCGCGCCTCGCATGCTGCCGATCGATGAAGCTCCCAAAGGCCTCCGAGCTCGACTCCACCAGGTGCCACTCCGTGATCGTGCCGTCCACCTCTGGCCTGCTCCACGTGCCAACAGTGCGCGGATCCCAGCCCACGTCCATGAGCGTTGCCGCGAGCGCGCCGACAGGGCCACGCACGCGCCGCCAGCGCCGGGCTGCGCCGGCGCTCAGGAGCGCGCCGCGGATGGCAGGCCAGACTCTATGGATCCTCGCATGGACCTCAGGCGCCGTCTCCCAGAGCTCCAGCCACGAGTCTACCAACTGGATGCGCAGCTTTATGGCTGGGTCCTCCTCAAGCCCCGCCGCCAGGACCGTGGTGAGGCAGCGTCCGCCAGC